CCCTGTTCATAGGTTTACGCTCAACCACTGAGCCACGCCAACTGGGAGATTTTTTTTTTTTTGTGAAAGATTGGAAGGGAGGGAGGGAGAGGGAGGGAGAGAAACATTGATATGAGAGAGACACGTTGACTGGTTGCCTCCCAAACGTTCCCCAAACAGGGCTGGGGATCGAACCTGCAACCCAGGTGCATGCCCTTGACTGGGAATCGAACCCAAGACCCTTCCATGCACAGGCTGACACTCTAACCACTAAGCAATACTGGCCAGGGCCCGTTTTGCATTTTCTGAGATGACTTCATTGTCAGTGTTTAATCATTGTTCTAGAAATTTGAGAAAACACAGAGCAAATAAACCTTTGGGATAAAAGAGAGAGAGAAAAATAATCAAAAAAGGCTTCCTGAAATCCTGTCTGTCACCCGGTAGAAAAACCACACACAGTTTGGAGCTTACCCGTCTGGTCTCGGTCTGTCTGTCTGTATACACTCTTCTTTTATAAGCCTGCTCGCGGCACGGGTGTTGTTTGGTGTACTCTTTCACGCTCAGAGCACTGTGTGACTCTGTGCCATCAGATCGTCTGCAGTATTTTTATGGCCACAGAATCTGTCGAATGGACGTACCATGACTTAGAATCCCGATGTGAGCTGTCTCGGTTAGCACAGTTTTCCAACTTCCGTTAGCAGTTACGCATCTCCTTGTGGGTAAGATCGTGCAGATTTCCGTGCTGCCCTCCGTGGGTCACCGAGTCACCTCTGAGCATAGAAGTACCCCCAGCGTTGGTCCCTGGATGGTTTTGTAGCATAGCCGGGTGCTCAGGCTTGTCGAGGTTGCTGGCCCATTGCTGCTAATGGAAAAGCTGGAGAGAGATGTGTCTTAGTGTTTCAAGGTCAGTTTACAAGAGTAGTGCTGCCCTGCCCTGAGCAGTGGTTAGAGCACCGGCCCTCGGACTGGAAGGTCGTGAGTTCGATTCCTGGCCAAGGGCAAGTACGTCGGTTGTAGGCTCGATTCCATGCCCTGACTGGGGCACGAGCGGGAGGCAAGCAGGCATGCGTCTCTCTCACGTCGATGTTTCTCTCACTGCGCTTCTCCCTCTTCCGTCCACTCTCTAAAAAGGAGGGGAAGAGAGACAGACAGACACATAGACTGGTTGCCTCCCACAACTCCCCCTGCTCTCTGGATGTCATCCTTCTGAGCTTGCAGGGGCCACAGTGGCCAGAACACCCAGCTTCAGAGCCGTTTCTGAGACGAGAGGCCTGAGTGAGGACTGGAAGGGATTTCCTGCCTATTTTTTTGCAAAGCTGATGTTGGTCCCTGTTTTTCTCCTGCTCGGTAGCGGGCAGGTGCAGTTGCTGGATCGCGGAGCTGGAGGCCGGGCTGGAGACGGGGGTGGTATCTTTTCCCGAGCATCGCTCCCTAGAATTCGGGCAGTGTCCGATCTTTGCCATTTCCTTGTTTGATCCCGGTGGGAAAGTGAGGACATATGTGAGGCTTCCTCTGTGGGTAGGACAGAGACCCAGTTTGTTACTCGTCTTGTCCACGTGCTCAGTTATCTTGGTCTCTATTCCCGGTAGCCCTGTCCGTGTATAGACTCCGTGACGCCAGGGAATCGGGCGACATCGTTTTCGTATTGCTCAGCTGAAGAGAGACCCCGGTGAGGTGTCTTGAATTGACTTACGAGTTCCTTGTGGTGATGGTGGTTCTCATCTCACTGCCGACTTCCCCCTTCAGCTTCTTTTCTGATCACCTTTGGGTTTCTCTCCGGCAGGAGCTGGTGGTGATGGGCGCCCCGGGGTCGTTTTATTGGGCTGGGACGGTCAAGGTGCTGAACCTGACGGACAACACCTACTTCAAGCTGAACGACGAAGCGATCATGAACAGGCGGTACACTTACCTGGGTGAGTAGCTCAGGGAGGTGACAGGTGACAAGGGACACAGGAGCGATGGCCACGATGTTCACTTTACTGGGGGCGGAAAGGATTTGCCGGCGTTGACACCCATACTGATCAGTTACAATGTTAGCTACAGTCCCTTACCATCCAGCCCCACCTACGGAGGAGAAACAAAGCAGGGAACTGAATTCAAACTGTGATTCGATTAAAAAGCTGGCACTTGAACCTCTGGGGAAGCAAACGTTTTATTTTCTTATTCTAGCAGTTACTCAACATTCAAATGATCAGATACAAAATGGGTGCAAGAGAACCCCGGTTTTCCATGCCGTTCCTTTGGGTAAGGTCTCTGCTTCCGGGTCACAAAGATGGTTGTAAACAGAGATAATCAGAACCAGAAATTATCACAATGGATAGCAGCCTAATGCTGGGGTTTGATCAAAGGCTCGGAAAGATTCCTCCTGTTTTCTCAACCTTTTTAATCTTCTAGAAAGAAGATAGACACAGCTTCAGCGAGCAGCCAGCCACCGGGCAAGAATGAGGCCCAGCCTGACCATGTCTCTTTAAGAACAGGGTAGACTGTCTTTGCTTGTGTACATGGACATTCTACATGGCTTTTCTTTAATTCAGGCCCTAAGTGCTGTCATTCTGGACTGAAAAGGAAGCTAACTTCAGGCCCAATGCTGAGAAAGCAATGCTCTTTTGCATACATTACCCATAAGTTAGATCTGGGGGAGTCCCACCCCCTTTTCACAGGGATCCACTTGTGAGAAGGCAGTAGAGGGTTGTCCACTTGCCTTTTCCCCTCTAACTGCAAGGTTTTCCCCAGTGAATAAACCATAAAACCTTTATTCCGAGTCCTTGGGGTGTTCGCTGCCCTGTGCTCCCAGCTCCTCAGTCCTGTCATTTATTGAGCACCTACTGTACGCCAGGCTCTGCCTGTTATTGCTTTTCATTCCCGAAACAGCCTGGTAAGATAGCTGTTATTTTCCATCCACATTGTATAGCGAAAGAAACAGGTACGGAGAAGTTACGGAATAGCCAAGGTCACGTGGCTCTTCAATGGCAAAGTTGGGGGTTTAATTAAAACCCGTGGTTCCCATGCTCAAGGTCTGGACCCTGAGCCGCCTCCCCTGTGCGTGCCACGGAGATACCGCCGACCCTCGCCGGGCTGGGAGCACCTTGGCAGTGGGGCGTTTGTCTCACATTTCCAGGACTCAGCACTGTACCTAGTGCTTCGTAGGGACTCGACCCGTGTTTACTAGGTCAGAAAGTGAAAAGAAGGCCGGAGAGAGGCTGGTTTGGCGGTGGCTGTAGGGTCCAGGCTTGGGGCTGGTGGCTTCTCCCTGCATATGGAACAGAGGCCCCATCTGCCGCCGGCTTCGCCAGGCTCCCCGGAGGCTTTGCTGTCTGTCACTCAGAATACTCTTGGGTAACATGAGCCTCCAGTCTGAGAGAGAGCTGCCACATGGTGAATAAGAATTGACCCTAACGTGGTCTCATCACAAAGCCCAAAGAGCTTACGGGCACAGCTTAGGTTTGAGGTTGATGACAAGGTTTGGGGACTCTATGGCACAGGGTTTCTGGGGGCCGGAGGACACAGGTTTCAGCCTGTCAGCAGGGCTTCCAAAAGGTACAGGAAACATTTAGACTAAGCGCAGACAACTTTTCCCTTTCTTTATAGATTCCTTTTGTATCCAGATTCGTTGCCTGCCCATCCACCCGTCCGTCCATCCATCCATCCATCCATCCATCCATCTCTGTTAGTGTCTTTCTGCCTCTCTTAGGAGGGAGTGTGGCCTAATGGTCAACAGCAAGGGCTTGGGAGGCACACAGATTGGATTTGAATCTTACTGTGTGGTCTTGGGAATCTCGCTTAATCAATCACATTTTAGTCCCACTTTCCACATCTCTGACATGGAAGAAATAATCATATCTTCCCCCTAGAGTTGGGAGGTTAAAGGCCATGATGACATCCAAAGTACACATACAAGCTGTTCCTAATAGCCCCAAAGTGGAGGCAAACAAAATGCCTGGCAATAGGAGGGGGGAAAAAGATACTGTGATATATTCATGCAATGAAACATTAATCAGCAATAAAAAGAAACTACTACATTCAACATGGATGGGTGTGACAGTTATGTTGAGTGAATGAAGTTCTAGACCAGGAAGACATAACGTGTAGTGATAGAATTCTGAAGCGTGGCTACTTGTGAGGGGGCATTGACTGGGAAAGGGAATGAGGGACTCTCCTCAGTTGTGTTTCCATGGTTACATCCACTCTGGGCAGCGATTACATGGTTATATACATGTATACACATTCATTAAGTTCTACACTTCAGATGTGTGTACTGTATGAACATTCAAAAATACGTCAATAAGAAAAAGAAAACAGACTTGGAGTAGGTAGCCTAGTCCCAAAGCAGTCAGACAGAGACTGCTCTTGCCCTGATGTCCTGGCGAACATGTCTTTGTGTGAGATGAGTTATTCCAGCACGAGAAGACCAACAGCTGCCATTGGGTCCAAGGCTGGCTGGATAATAACTGCCTAATGAGGGTTACTTGAGAAACGTCTTCCTCTGGTGGATCTTTCTCTTCCCTGTCATTGTTTCTCAACCCTGCCCTTGGCGTCTGCCCATTCCTTACAGGCTATGCGGTTACCGCCGGCCACTTCTCTCATCCGTCCACCACCGATGTGGTAGGAGGCGCCCCCCAGGATGAAGGCATTGGGAAGGTGAGGAGAAGAGCCTTTGGAATAGCGGGGGGTCAGACAGAAGGGAGGGGGCACACTGTGGCTGTTACAGGGGCTCGTCACCTCCCTTGGATCTGAAGATTCTGTTGGGTGGCTGGCAGGTAAGTGACGAGGTATTGAGGCACCTCTGCTGTCTCCTTCCAGCCACTTTTGGGAGTTGACCTGGAAGCTGCATCAGAGTGTGGATAGCACTCTCCATCTCCTGCACGTTCACATCTGAGAATGTTTTTCACAGCTGACTCTGTGTGTGCACACGCGTGTGCAAATGAGATTGTTAAGACTGACCTTGGCAGTATTCCCCCCCCGCCCCCCGCTAACTTCAAATCTTTTACTTTCTCAAACCCTTTCCAAGTTTGACTTTGACCTCATAGAGCCAGGTCTAGTCCCAGATATCTTTGTGAATTTATCTTGGGGTCTAGATTCTTATATTTATTTCCCCCAATGTTTTGGAACCAAGACTGGTGCAGCCCAAAGGCTGGACTGGGAATATGTGGGTCACTTTCCCCAAGTATCCGCCCAGAGTGTAGAATAGACCCCATGGGTCCAGGGCTGTCTGAGTCCCTTTGGGAATCGCGGTTGGAGCCTGACCCTGCAGAGAACTATGCTTGATGGGTCTTTGGCTCCAGGGAATAGGAAATCCAGATTGAGTAGGTTGGGTAGATCCACATGAGTCAGGAATCTGCATTTTTAATACACTCTGTAGGTTCTCTGATGCGAAAGACTGAACAGAGGAATGGTGTGAGCCCATGGGGTAGACCTAAGGTAGTCTAACCATACCTCCGGGGGCTCAGTGTAATGGGGTCTGGATTCTGGAGAGGCCGTGACGGGCCGAGACCACTGTTAATTGGCGTCAGTATGACCAGCTGACCCGCTTGACTGTGATATGTTTATGGGGTCATCTCCCTGCGCCCTCCTGGGCAGGATTAGAGGTCACTGTTGGTGTTTATGGAGCATGTGCCTCCCTCCCCACAATGCTGAGGCTGTGGAGAAAGGGTCTTTGAAAATGAAACCAGGGGAAAACCCCAGGGCACTGAGCAGGGGGAAGCATGGAGATGAACTCTGGTGACTTCAAGAAAGATATGGGTCTCCCTGAGTCACATGCTTCCTCTCCACCGTGGAAGGACGAGGAAGTGCTGTGCGCTGTTCCCGCATTGATAATGTCTTCTGGGGGAGGAGCCGCGGAGCACCGGCACCTCTGTGGCATCGATCAAAACCTCCACCTCCCAGTTCCCAGCGATGCCCACGCGTCAGCTGATGCTGCTTCTGGTTGGGCCACATGAGAGGCACTGGGGAAACCGGTCGCTGTTTCCCCAGATAAAACTGATGACTGTCCCATAGTCCCAGGGATGGGAGCTGGTACAGACCTGGTTCCCAGGCACCCCCGAAAGGACCTCCGGCCTTCAGGAATTGGGTGGTGATTGATTTCTGTTATCTGGGCATGACAGCATTCACACTGAGATCCTTCACCCTGTGCGAGGGTCCCCTGCCCTGGTTCTCGTGAGACATTCTCTTCCCATACGTGTAACTTGAAGAACAACTTCCATAGTCATGTCATTTAGGAAGTTCCACCTCCATGATCTTCTTTGTGGCGGAGACTTATGGTATATACATGCACCCTAAAGGCTCTGAGAAGTCCCCCACCCCCAGTAAAGAAATGTATTTAATGTTTAACTCTGGTGTTTGCCAGCTAAATTCCTGTTTACGCAAGCAAATGTCATGACTCTCCAGGTCTGTGATGTCACCTTGGAAAACTGCTTGCTCTGAAATGCCTCCCTCCCTCTCTCTTATCTTGATACTAGAGGTCTGGTGCACGAAATTTGTGCACGGATAGGGTCCCTAGGCCTGGCCGGTGATCAGGGCCCATTGGGGCCTTCCTTCCCCCAGCTGCAGGCTGGGGCCTTCCTTCATTCCGCACTGCCCCCTGGTGGTGCACACATCATAGTGAGCGGTTGAATTCCTGGTCGGTCGAACTCCTGGTCGGTCGCACTCCTGAGGGGACAATTTGCATATTTGCCTTTTATTATATACTAGTAGGATACCTGCTCAAGCTCTTACTCATAGGAATGAAAGAACTATTTCAAGGAAGAAAACACTTCTTCTAAGTGTTGAATTGTTAACTGGTGATTTGGAAGCTCCTAGGGTCTTACTATGCGTGGCTTCCTCCATGATGTGGCCAGGAGCGGAGGAGGTGAAGGATACTTTCTTTGCAGAGTTGATAAAATGATAGCCACGTGGACTGCATTAGTATCCGCTGGCAGAAGCACACCTGTCCTGCTACGGGTCAGGCATTTCAGTAGGACTCCCAGGAGGATGCTGATAAATATCTTTGCTCATCGCTTCCATCTTAACTAGATTTTCTTTTTTCATTTCATAGGTTTATATTTTTCGAGCTGACCGAAGATCAGGCACCTTAATTAAGATTTTTCAGGCATCAGGTAAAAAGGTAAGAGTCTTGGTATATATGTTTGTGTTGTTTGAGAGATGTCATCATGGGGAAGTCAGATTTTACGCGCTGGAAAATGGGTTTAAAGGCTGTCTCTGGGCCCTGTGTTTATGTGGTGGTTCTGTTGCCTGTTGGTGCCTTTCTTTACCTTCTCAGCGTTGAGTGTAACCTGCTGATTCATGGGATTCAGGTGGTTGTTGGAGACAGGTAGCAAGATGAGTTTGTACAGGGCCACGTTCAGCTTAGAGTTTTTTGGTAAAAGGTTGTATTTCACACTGTCATCAAATGACTGCATACTCTGTTTCTCTTGACCTCTCTGTCTCTCTCCGTCTGTCTGTCTGTCTTTGCCTCATACATACACATCTGCACCTCCAGAGAGATCACACACAGTTGTGTACAGGTAGCAAGCAGACCTGATTACTTTCCAAGGAGGCCTGCCGACAAATGGGTCTCACGCTCCCTCTCTCACCAGCACAGCGCCACCCCCACAGCCTCGCATCCTGAGCCCTCTGCCTCCATTGCCACAGGGACTGTTGTCACACGAAGACAAACCAGAAAGAGTCACCCGTTTCCCTTTAGAGCCTTGAAATAGAAATAGCCCTCAAATTAGTCTTGGGCAAAGTTTATTTGCCTGCGTCATCTTGTCCTCATACCATCCCTAATCCAAATTCCTGCAGATTTTCCATCTTAATTTCTATTCATACGGCACCGAAGTCTGAAAGTAAGCCAGTTGGAGATGCTGTTGATTATTAAACATGGGCTTATCCGCCACCCACTCCTTAGTGTGGCTTAGATCAGCAGGCTTGCTTAGCATGACTGGCAGCTCTGAGGGGACAGGAATTCAGCTGGGAGGTGAGGCGGGGTTAGTGAGTTCTGGGGAGAGGACAGGACCTGAGGTTTGGGAGGGAGACACCAGGAGACTGTCCGAAGGTGACTTCTCTTCCACTACCCAGAGAAATGGGGGGAAAAAAGCTGTTTCCTTCCTGGGCGGCCATGTGTCCTCGCCCTAGTTCAGTTTCTGCTCAGAGTCAGACCTGCTGTATGAGTTACATACTGTTCTGATGATGAGTCCTATTGCGAGGACAAAAATCTACTAATTTTGTGCAGTTTTAGCAACCTTAAGGCACATGCTCAGTATTGAATTGTCATCATATTTTCAGTAAAAAATAAAATAAAATAAATGCATCTCCAAACTCAGTTTTGTGACATTTTTCCCTGAGAACAGCTCAGCGTTCCCCCGAGAGCTGGGCTGCCTGAGTTATTTTAACATTTCCAACCCGCAAAGCAGCGACCCTGGAAAATGCCCGTGAGCAGTTCTGCAGAGGTTTCCAAGCACCCCCAGCGTTAGAGAGAAATAACTGTGCGTTAGTGGCAAAGAGTCCCCAGGACCAAGGCGGGCGTGGGCGCTGCTTGTCATTTTCTTCAGGGCTCGTCTTGCCCGCTCCTGGCACAGTTCCAGACTTGCTCCTTCGTCGGCCAACCCCTCCTGCCCTCTGGTTGCACTGTCTTCTAGCTTTACCCCCATCGCCTCTTTTTGGTTTTGAAATAGACCCTTATTCTCCTTAGGCATTTTCTTCCGCTTTTTTTCCCCGAAGATATAAGGAATTCTTGCCTATCTGATGTCTCTGTCATTTCATAGGGGAAGGTCATGACCCCAGGCTCTCAAAGGATGCCTTTAGCGGAGCCTCACACACACAAGAGGGGTCTGACTCAGTAAACCACCGGTTCCTTCTGCTTTCGTGTGGCCAGAGTTTGATCAGATAGTCTTATCTCCTGGCTTCACCTTGAGAAAAGGAAGAAAAAGGAAAAGAAAGAAAAAGCCCAGTTCTGGTCTTCATTGGTGGGCATGCTTCATGCATAGGACACATGAGGAATCACCAGTGTGTGTGCAGTCCAGATGTTAATCGAGGCCCACGTCCCCGCACCCCCAGGCTGACGGGAGCTCTCCGAGCAAGGACCGCGCACCCCACAGCGCGCCGTTGCCAGGCTGAAGTTTTACGGAATTGACTGAGTATGTGATGCATCAGTTATGTCAAAACAGAGATAGGGAACTTCACGTCTGGGGATTTCTGAGTTAACACCGAAGAACATGCCAAGTTAAACAGCCCATTAGAATGAGACAAGTCTTTCTCTGGGGCCTGGCCTGGGTCTCAGTCCTTTTACTCATGTCCGGGGTAGGGAGATGGGCACAGCCACCGAGTCGGCGACTGGCAGCTGGTTTCGGTGTCCCTGCTTCCCGTGCCTCGGAACCTTCTCTGCCCTCCTCTCTTGGGCATGAAGGGTTGGGGGGCATATGGGTTGAGTGCACGTGGCCTTGGTATGTGCCTGGGAGAGGGCATCGGAGTCCTCTTGGCCCAGGGTCACTGCAGGGAGGGGTCTGGAGTGTCCTCCACCTGTGTCAGACTCCCCGGAGTCAGCTGCCCACACACTCGCAACAGTGAAAGGAAATGCGGCTTCGTGTCCGTAGAACCAGAGCCCTTTTATTTGAAAACATGGATGTTAAAAGGGTAGCCTTTCTAATAAAGATCAGAGCTTGCATGCTGGTAGCCTCTGGAAAGGATACAGCCTACAAAAACGTTTGTTTGTCCTGTGTAGTAAGTTTGTTTGTTTGTTTTTAATAGGAATTAGTTGCTATCATTAAAAAAAAATAGGCCCTTCAAATAAATTGTTTTATTTTGGGGCTTCTCTTGGACCATGGGACGGTTGGCCTTCCTCAGGGTAGCAGTTGACCGAAGCTGGGTAGGAGCTGCTCCCGTCGCTGGGTCTGTGGATGCCAGTTTGCCACAGTCTCCACCACTCCCTCTTGTGCCTTAGCCACTGAAGCCTAGCACCACTTGCCACTGTAAGCATACTCGCACGGCTGTTTGTTTCCTACCTGTTATATCACTTGCCTGGATCCCATTCACGTCTGGGTTCAAGAACCCCGATTTAAGGTAATAGGGACTGGATTAGGCTATGAGTAAGGATGAGCCCGTGTAGCCTGGCTGGTCCCTCATCCATCCAGTGGTCCACTAGGTCTCCCTTTTTCTGTCACTTCAGCCCATGAGTTCCTAACTGGCCTTTAGCTGTGCACAGGGCTGGGAGGGGGTCACCTGTTTCATGCCTCCCTGTGTCCTGAAACTTCATATTCCAATTTGCTGGTGCTTTTATGATGGTTGGAACCTATACTTGCAACCTCAGTTTGTATTTTTAAAAACAGTGCCTCATTCTCCCGGGATGGGTCTGTTGGTTGTCCCCCTCAGTAGGGCTCCAGGACAGGGGACTCTGAGCCAGTTAGCTCTGGTCTCCTGGCACCTGGGGGCCCCGCGTCACAGCTGCAAGACACAGGGAAGTCGGGTGTTTGCCCGTTCACCTTGGCATTCTGGCTTGCGGGCGGCGCCGCCGTCAGGGCCTGTGAGGGATCTGGGGCTGGAGGAGAGCGAGGGCCTCCTGTGTGAGGGCAGACACTGAACGCTTTGTTGCAACTCGACTTGGTTGCAGATGGGCTCTTACTTCGGCTCCTCCTTATGCGCAGTTGACCTGAACGCGGACGGCCTCTCCGACCTGCTGGTGGGGGCCCCCATGTTTTCTGAGATCAGGGACGAGGGGCAGGTCACCGTCTACATCAACAGAGGAAATGTGAGTACAGTGCTGGGCAGCCTGTGGACAGAGGGTGGGGGTGGGGGGACATGTCTAGCGAGTAGTAACCGAGCACCCTCTGGGCCCCGCACTGCGCCCTGCGATGAGCTTCCTACCTTCAGAAAGCTCAGTGTTCCACTGATGGAAAGTTACAACTGCCAACACACAGGGGTTCAGAAAATCTTAATGGCGGTGTTTTGAGTGCCTACCGGGTACCAGGAGCTGTTCCTCCCGCTCTCTGTGAATGAGTTCAGTATAATGTGCACCTGGTATCAGTGGCCCCCATGTTTCAGGTGAAAAACAAACAAACTGAGGCCCAGAGAGGTCAGGTAACCTGCCCCAAATCACACAGCTAAGGAGTGGTGGGGCTGGGGTTTGAACCCAGGCAGGCTGGATTCAGAGCTTCATCTCTAGATTGTGCTGCCTTCCTCGGTGTGCACACGCATCTGTCCAGGCAGCAGGGAATCCTTCTCAGAGGACACAATGGCTAGAAGGAATCTTGAGGAAGGAGTAGGAGTTGGGCAGACAGGCAGGAGTGGGCTGGGAGCTGGGTGAGTGGGTGGAGGTGTGAGGCAGCAGGGCCACTTAGTTCCCCATGGGGGCTGGGTGGGGACCAAGAGCCCTAATCAGATGTCCCTTATTCTGCAGAATCATGAAAGGGATGTGATGGGGCAGAAAGATGCCTCTGTTTCCCTTTAGTGGAGGAGGGGGTGGTGGGGAGACCAGTGAGAAAGCGGAATCTTTTCAGGACCTGGAAGTAAGAGTATTCAGCCAGGAGGGAATGGTTAAATGAATAAATTCTGGTACCACCAGCCTTGGAGCTAACATGAGAAAATGCTTATGAGATAATCAGTGCAAAGCAGGATTAAAAACGGCGTATACAAACCCCCTTTAAAAGTAGAGCAAATACACAGAGGAGGTTAATAACATCGCTCTGGGTGGTGGTCTTGGGCAGATTTTTAGTTTTATCTTTACCCAAAATAGCAAACATGTCATGCTTTCATCATCAAAAAAAACGGTGAGTGTACTTTTGAGCACTGACAAGATGCTAGATATTCCAATTGGGTAGAGGTGCTGGCGTGTCACTGTAACCAGGCGGGCAGGTGCCAGGAAGAAAGGGCAGCCAGTGACAATGGAGCCAGGGCACACGCGAGCCTTGGGCTTTCTTGGATGTTTGCAAACTCTTTGCAAGGGAAAGAAGATGCTTCCTGGTACCTGGTGCAGCCACTGGTCACCTGCGTCTCTGCTGACGTTTCGGTGAGGGGGCCGGGGTGGGGGAGGTGCCTGGGGGACATGAGGTGATCATTGTGGAGATGAGAACAGCAGGCATTCACGCAGCCCCTCCCAGCCACTCTGTTCGCGGGAGCCTGACACATCTCGTGGGTGTTAACTTGTCTGAGGCAATCAGGCAGCGACCAGACGGATAGCCCGACCCTGTGTCTAAGTCCGGGCGTGGACACTGGGAGCAGGAGCGTTCCCCAGATCTTCTCTGGGAACATTTCACCCCCACATCTCACCCCCCACAGCCCATGTTTCTTAAAGCCAAGTGCTGACCCTAAGTACCTAAATATTCTTATTTCTCTTGAACCTCTTCATATTTTTTTAAAAATATATATTTTTATTGGTTTCAGAGAGGAAGGGAGAAGGGAGAAGGGAGAGAGAGAAACATCAATGATGAGAGAGAATCACTGATTGGCTGCCTCCCGCACGCTCCCTCCAAAAGGCACCGCAGGCTGTTGGAGAGCCCCATGCTGCCCAGGTACCAGGGACCCATCTTGCCCCCAGAGAGAGCGGTTTGGGTGCCTTTGAGTCTGCCCAGGAGTTTCCTGTCCATGGGAGTGCGCTAGAGAAGTGGTATTCCCAGCTCTGTTTTTTTTTTTTTTATTGTGTTTTTGTTTTCCGTTTTTCCTCCATCCTGTTTCCCAGGGAGCCCTGGAGGAGCAGCTGGCCCTGAGCGGGGATGGCGCCTACAACGCACACTTTGGGGAGAGCATCGCCAGCTTGGGGGACCTTGACGACGACGGGTTCCCAGGTGGGTGAGCGCCTGTCCCCTGCCTTCCAACCTGGCCCCCCCGCATAATGCGCTCCTGGATCTACCTGCCCACGGGGGACCGGAGTGGGGGTGATGGGGGAGGACCCCTTCAGAGAAGATGCTCTCTGTGAGGGCACTCAGGGCTGAGCTCTGAGCCCACGGGCATTTGCTTTCCAGGAGTCCTGTCTCGTCAGTTCTGTGTGTTTTGCTATGTGATTGTGGGGCCAGTGAACCTTGGGGCCGGTCCGCTGGGGCTTCGGATGGCAGAGGAGCTCAAGCCAGCTTCCTCCCGGCGCAGATACATCTTGTTTCTGAGCCTCTGATGCTCCACAGGGCGAGAGTTTGACATGCTCTCCCCTGATAGTCACAGCATGCTGGACTGACTTTTTTAAAAATATATTTTTATTGATTTCAGAGAGGAAGGGAGAGGGAGGGAGAGATAGAAGCATCTGTGATGAGAGAGAATCATTGATCGGCTGCCTCCTGCACGTCCCACACTGGGGATCAAGCCCACCCCTGGGCATGTGCCCTGAGAATCGAACCAAGACCTCCTGGTTCATAGGTCGACGCTCGACCGCTGAGCCACCCTGGCCGGGTTGAACGGACTTTTGAATAAGTTTTAATTGTTGGGGGTGGGGGACACCGAATGTGTAGTTCTGTTCGGACAGCAGGTGTCCTTCCCGAATGTGGCCTCTCTCTCTGGCCTGTTAGGAGCCCCCTCCTCTCCTTGCAGAGGCAGATGTCAGACATCAGGACCTGCAGGAGCCATGTCCCGGGGCGATGGCCGAGGTGGAAGAGGGACTGGGGACCGCTCTAGCCTCAGGCCAGGCTGCTTGGACGCCCTCACACCACTGGCCCGAGAGGCCTTCATTCAAGAGCGGGGATCGCCACTGGAGGTCACATGGGTGCACGCCTCTCACCCTTGACCTCACTTCTGCGGACACATGACTTTCGTTAAAAGCAAAGGGCAAAAAATAAGGAAGATCTAGGCTTCGTTCCAGGAATTGTCAGTTTGTGAGAATAGTGTCAGATTTTTCTGTGTGTGAAGCAAATGCCATTGTATACATTTCCTCATCCAGGAATAGAGTTGACTTTTTTTAAAAAAAAATTTTTTTATTGATTCAAAGAGGGAGAGAGAGAAACATCAATGATGAGAGAGAATCACTGACTGGCTGCCTCCTGCCCGCCCCACACAAGGGGCTGAGCCAGTAACCCAGGCATATGCCCTGACCAGGAATCGAACCCGGGACCCTTTAGTCTGCAGTCCAATATTCTATCCACTGACCAAACAACCTAGGGCTAGAGTTGGCTTTCTCTATGCAGTAACCATTGTCTATAGAATTCCCGCCCCTGGCGGACGGAAATTGGGCCAGAGGTTTATCTTTGTATTTCTTCTTTTGGGTGGCTCAGTGATATTTTTCTCCCTAAGAGAATGAGGTAGGACAGGGATGGGCAACCTTTTTGTGAGTATGTGCCAAAACCAGCAAAATCTCTGACTCAAAATTCTTCTGCGTGCCAACCCTAATTTTTTGAGAACATCTTAAACCTACTTGAGATCTCTTAAGGTGTACGTATGTGTAGAACCTTGAAGAAATAATAAAATTCATTCGAGCG